TTTTTTTTTTTTTTTTTTTTTTTTTTTTTTTTTTTTTTTTTTTTTTTTTTTTTTTTTTTTTTTTTTTTTTTTTTGGACGTTACAAAGATAAAATAATTAAATTAATAAAGCACAAAATGAAACACACACAGCATAGTGACGAAAGCAATGACGTGGAGAAACATCCTTACACGTCTAGCATAGTCACTGGGCAAAATATAATTAACCTAAAATTAAAGCAAGCTGTAAAAATATAATATAAGCAGTAAAAGGATAAAATAGAAGAGCCAAGGTGCAAATATATTTTTCTGATAATATAAACAAGAAAAAGAAGAAGAGAGGCAATATTATGAATGCAGTTGAATGGTTAAGGAATTAACACGTGTCCAAAGTTTGAATGTCAACCTTCCTCCCAATTGTGACTGAAAATTTTGACCCGATAATATTTAATTAATATATTGAAATTGACTTTCCTTTTGGATTTCAACCTATAAAAACCCCAAAACCCAAAATCTTTCTTCGTCTTTCCCATCGGCTCAAACTCCAGCTTAATCCAATAATAAACAGTCAACCACTCAAATATGGCTTCCAATTCCACCAGTTCCTGTGACACGAAGAAATACAAGGGCGTACGGCGGCGTAAGTGGGGGAAGTGGGTGTCGGAGATCCGAGTTCCGGGCAGCCAAGAACGGCTGTGGTTAGGTTCTTACTCGTCGCCGGAGGCCGCCGCCGTGGCTCACGATGTCGCATATTATTGCCTGAGAAGACCCTCAAACCTGGACCACCTCAACTTCCCGCCGACGGTGCTGCCCTTGACCAACCACCTTCTTATCCGAGACGACATGTCGCCTGGCTCCATTCAGAAGGCAGCCTCCGACGCCGCCATGGCTGTGGACGCACAGTATATATGTAACAACTTGCCTGACCGGGGCAGCAGCGGCGGGGCAGGGACATTTCAGAACTATACGGCGCCAAATGATCAAGATCTTTCCGTTGAAGATTATCTGTGAGTGTTAATTTGATGACGAAATCAGCGCGTCCTCGAATCAACGGCTGGGATGGGACGAATACGATATGTATCAAGTAGCGATCAACTTTCCATCAGAGTGCTGCCGGGGTCAGCCAGGCTTTCCAACTTTCGATGGTTTAGAGTCAACACTACTGATTTAATTGTATATATTAATTAAATAAAAATACTTTGAAAATTGTGGTGGTTTAGAGTCAACACTACTGATTTAATTGTATATATTAATTAAATAAAAATACTTTGAAAATTGTGGTCGTATCCTAGGAAGTAGAAAAGCTTTTTTTTTTTTTTTAAATTTTTTTTTAAAATTTTTATGGCAAGTATTTATGTAATCCTCATGGTTAGCCACCCGATCTCTCTCTTAGTGAGAGATTTACACACTTAAAAAAAAAATGTTTCGTTTCACCCTCCAAATGAGATGTGGGATCTCACACTCCACCTTACTTGGGGCCAGTTTCCACACCTTTAAAAGAAATATTTTGTTACTTGGAGCCAGTTTCCACACCTTTAAAAGAAATATTTTGTTTTCACAATACACCTCACTTGGGGTCAGCATCGCTAGCACACCGTCCAATGTCTGATTCTGATATCATTTGTAATAGGAGGATTGAGTTTAGAAAGGAGAAGTGAAAGAGAGTGGGCGGGTGGGGGAGGAAGGAAATGGACGGTGAGGGGAGGTGGAGGGCGACGCCAAGACTTGACTTGGCGTGTGAATACGAACAAAATTCAACCTTCAAAAGTGGGAGTTGCATTTATAACAAAAGGGATGAGTATTACGTTGGCAGCCCTGGCCATGCGCCGTACGGTAAAAGTTTGAATTAATATCAGATATAGACACATTCTAAAGCTATTTTGAATCGATCAAGCAAATGTGAACACAACACAATACTGTCTCTACATAAATTACATTTATAAGTAGGTATTATAAGAGATCGTTGTTGTCCTTAGAGAAAGAGATGAAGTCTGCTAAATTTCAAAAGCCAGCTAACTTCTGTACATTTGGCTTTCAGCTTTTATGGCTTCAACTTTGATTACACCTTCAGCTTCAGAGATTTTTAATGTTCCTTCATATAGAAAACTACATATCTTGCTTAGGCTTTCTGCTCAACTCTGAATAGTCACCGCCCATCAATTGCAATATCTCCTCCCACAGTCCCTCTGATGAGGAATCTGATGCGCCTCCACAGATTAGATTTGAGCTACAAGCTGCCACATACCAGTAATCTGATTCAATTTCCTCCCTCAATTGATCCAGTTGCCACCCAGCATAACCCACAAAGAATCTGAAGTCCTGAGGTTTAAGGATTCCCTTCTTCACCAGCACTGCAGCTTCATCGAGGCTGTTTCGAGCGCCAAAGCAGAGGCCTGGGATCACTTCTTCAAACCCATGTAGTTTTGATTTTTCTCCTGTTTTCAGCAAAAACATGCTCGCCTCAAGAGGCCCCCCAAAGTGTAGGGAGCAATCAGAAAATGTAGTTGCTAGGTCAAGATTGGTTGGTTTCATGTGCTTGATCTTTTTGTGGAGTGGGCGGTTAATCACAACCCCGAACGGCCCCTCCTGAGGATGTCTGCTTCCAGATCTGAGGAGAAGGATGACTGTTCGCTCAAAAGTGCGAACACCGTCCAACTTCTCTGTGGCAACAAGGACACAGCCAGTCTCAGGTACAGGAATAGGATGTGCCCACTTCAGGCCGAGAGTCTTAGACTCGTGAGCATTTTCACTCTGGACGTCCATGTCAGCTTCGACCTTTTCTGCCTGCAAAATATTCACACCACAAAAAATAGTTGCATTGGAGTTTACATTTCTTTCATTGAACTTGTTTTGTTTGAGATCATGTTCTTCAGCAATCCGATAATAATACTAGAATAAGACGACAAATAGCATTTCCAGTCGGACACCCATAATAGAAAGCAGGACAAAAAACAAATAAAACAAAGCAGGGGACCGGGACCCAACAGGAGAAAAAATTGAAACTAGAGAACTCAGATCACTTTTGCTCTCACACCTCTTTGACAGAACTTTGCAATACAACTTTAGCCATATATGAGCAGGTTTCTACCCTGAGTAAAAACTTAGAGACGTGGTATCTCATAATTACAAAATTATACCTCTTTCTTAATAAGGAGTGTGATCAATTTTGATTTAAAAAGAAGAATGAGAAATCACCTGCTCGCGTGAGAATAAGTTTGCTCTGAATTCTCGCCAGTCCAAATTAATATGATGCGCTTTCTTGGAAGAAGTTTCATTACTTTTGCTGGCATCAGAAATATTGTTTGATTTAGCGTCGTCTCCAGGAACTGAGTGATCTCCATTTTCTGCACTTAAGAAATCAAAACAAAAAAAATGATATTTATCATGGTAGACATAGTAAGAGGAGTCCTATTAACATAGAGGATAAAAAATAGCTCAAATAGTACAGATGATAATATTAGAATGATATTCATAAGGAGAAGCTACCTACGATCCGTGAAACAGTTCACTTTAATTTAAAACATCCAGAGCCTCTCCAAGGGGATGGCGGTACCTAACTTTCATAAAGTGGAGAAGCTTGTTCTTTTTCAGTTACCAAACCTTCCTTTTTTCACAAAGTAGAGAAGTCCCACGAATCTATAGCTATCTCCAACATAACACTGAAGTAACATCTACTAAGATATACCACTAAACAACGTATTTTCCTCCTTTTTATAACTTTTTGGAGGTCAGTTGAAGTATTGGCTTGCAATGTTTCTATGATTCCTTAATTCCAAGCAATTGTTGAAGGCAGAAACACAAATCTTTGAGAACAGTTAGCTTAAGGCAGTGAGCGGAAAAAGCACATGTAGAACATAATAAAAATAAAAATAAAAAAAAGAAAGAAAAAGGAAGAAGTTGATTGTCCTCGACATGTGCAGAGCCACAGAGGATAAAAACATAGCAAATGTATAAATGGCATTAGAAGCATGGAGGGACGAAAAACAATACCAAAGACTAACCATCTATAAGGAGTACCATGTATAATTTTAGATTTTGAACTTTGAAAGATATGTGACTGGAACTCAAAACTGTAAGCAGCAAACAGGATGAGCACACCAGTGGGCCAAACAACCAATTTTTAGATTGAAAAATGGAAAGTTAAGAAAAAAAAAATCCCCTAACATCCAATTTCCATAGGCACTTGTCCAGAAGAGCGAAGTCTCGCCAGATTTTTTAACAGACTTATGATAGAGAAAGTAAAATAATACAACAAGCAGAGTAATAAGTAATATGGAGATTGTAAGAGAAGTGAGGTATGCACAAAGAAAAATTCCAAAACAAGAATTTCGTCTTTAAGTGCTATAGTGACAAGAGCATCCTCCTCTCAAAATACAACACTTTTTCGAAGATTGATACGACATCATACTAATCTTATTGGGAAAATCAAATATTCTTCGCAGGAATTTCTAACAAAATTGATCCAGCAACAAGAACTAGAAAGAAGAGGAAATTTTCAGGAATGAATTTCATGGGGCAAAACTCGAGTGTGGAAAGACCTATTCAAAGACTGTGGACTGTGGATGGTTGTTAGTTGATGGGCATGTTTGTCCATGTCGATTCATCACAATCGTTTGACCACTATTATTCTCATTAGCTACAATTCAGTGACTTCATTTACCTCTAAATGCAGATATACAAGCTTTCACAACTAAACACCCATACCAAATAGGCACATCTGTGAAAATATAAAGGTTCCTCACCATAGTATATAGTTACGAATTGGGGAGCATGCCGTGAAGCACTCAATACAATCTTTGTGGATGCGCACACCTGCAGCCTTGAGGGTGGTGTGTATGTCTTCTGACTAGCATTGATTAAGTTTGAGCCTGTCTGACTTATATATTAACCTTCGGCTTACTTTCTATAACTAATGTGCATAGCCCCACAATACCTTACTAGAAACAAGACTTTTATCATTTAGTTGATCGTTCTTAAATATTTTCCAACATGGATCATATCCCAACTCTTTAATTACATTAATGAGTAGGGAACCCGCAAGAAAACATGCCAAAAACAAAAGATTTTCCAACCAAAATATCATTTTAAAGAGGAAAAAATAAGGTAGTTCGGGAAATGGATTAGTTTAACAACACAGCACATAAAATGAGAAGAATTGAAGATAATGGTAATAATGAAGGATCCACACACTATGATGGCCAGTATACAAAAGCAAGTTACAAAGGGGAAAAGACTCCCGAGAACAGAAGAAAGTACCGAGTACCATGCATAACCAAGGGGCTTATTTGGCAGCTGGGCAACTAAAACGTATGATGTTAATTAGGAAAACTTGCTCGTCCTAAGCTGGTATTACATAACTGTACCGAAACTCCGAGAAGCATGATGCTACCAAAGGTCATGTCCTGATTTTAGGTTTCGAGCTTACTTAGACGATTCTGCAATCAATACTATATCATACTTTCCAGCAATCATAACCAAGCAGAGCAAAAGGCCATGGAATGTCAAAAGAAATCCGGAAGCCATGACGTGAAAGAACCTAAACAAACAAGAACAGAAGGAAATTGGGGACGAACAAACCCCAAGAAACGAAGAATTCTGGAAGAAAATAAGTACCAGGAGACGGAGAATTGTCTTGATTCTTCTTCGCAATCGCTCTCACCAGAAAGGAGCGAGAGACAGAGACGGGAGAGCAAATCCTGGGCCTGAATACTCGGATCTCAAGCAGGCGGAGAAGTTGAGCGCCAAAGGGATGTGAACAAGAAAATCTCCTCGAAGGCTTCGCCAAAGAGCAAGAAATGGGTCTGTCGGGAAAGGAGTGTTTGAGTGAGAAGGGCGGTGGAGGAGTGGCGGTGTTCTTGACATTTACAGCAAAGAGATCCATATCGGAAACGAATTTGGCCGGGAAATTAGATAGAAGCGTCGGAAAGGATGATCCAATCCACCCGAGAACAGTAGAGATGTGGAGAAAAGAGAAAAGGAGAGAATATTAAGGCGATATATATTGAAGATAGAAAGCCAAACAATCAGCAGCTAACAGTTAAGGTGAAGGCAGAGAGAGAGAGATAGAGAGAGAGAGTGAATGAAAAAGAGATGTAGAGAAACACAGACCGAAGATGCCATAATTTAGCGGACTTAATGTTCCCCGCCTGTTACGAGAACCCACTCTTTATTTTTGGAAATCATCAAATTTTCCAAGGTGTCTCACACATCTTTAAATAATTATATTTATTTTTTCAAATTTTATAATATTCGTCTTTGTATTACCAAATTGTAAGGTTTTAAAACAATGTTTTTTATAACAATATTCTTCTATCTTTAAATAACTTATATATTATTTTAATATATGTAACATTTTTGTGTTTTTAATAATTTAATGGGTTTTTTTTTTGTTATAAATTAATCTTATATTAAAACATTAGTTTTACATGTTAGTTAACATTTAAAACAATTGTGAACTTTTCTTTTAATATAGCATCAAAACTCATTTTTTATTTGAAATACTAACTTATTGTAAAAGAAGATGATTGCATAGTTGATAGTACTTGTCTTAGAACATTATATTAATACATCATTAAAATAGAGAAAACTTTGAGAGAAATTAATTATGATCGTTTTTTTTAAATGTTGAACAATCGCGGTTGAATAGATAAAATAAATTAAAATTTTCACATTTCAATAAACATAAGTTAGCTATATAGAACTTGTTAATTAGTAAATTAATATATTAATTTATTTTAATTATAATATATGGAAAAATAATCTTGTCACAAAAAATAAAAATGAGTGGCGCTCTAATATAGGAGGCAACATTTAAGCTTCATATGTTGTAAATACGCAAAGAAGATTGGAAAGTGAAGAAGCCCAGCCAACGTGGAACATCATCAGCGTATTCATCATAAACAAATCCACTAGCTTTTATGGAAACGGCAGAGACATGTAAAGCTAAACAAAGCTTGGGGTTACGAGAATGAAACCACAAGGCAAAACTGTTATGTGCAACAGATAAAACAAAATTATGTTCCTATGCTTGCCTATATGAACTGGGAATTGAGATATCAACCAACAATGCCTTTCTTGCCTCAAGTTCTGAGTCTTTTGAAGGAGGATGACAAGATCCGAAAGAGTCCATCTGGGTTATCAGCATGCACCTGTTCATACAAAAAGCATGCATGAGATGCCTCCTCCAAAACAATGAGTAAATCCACTTCCAAACCATCCGTTAAGATAAACCGAATCAATTAAATGTGGCTTGGACGAAGCATCACAAAGGTTGTAGTTAAAAAGAAAAACCATACCCAATGACCCGCATCCTCAAGGACATGCATTTCAACCCCACCTCCCTCCTCAACGGCCAGTTTCTCTGCAGCATGAATTCTCCGAATGTCTTCAAGTGCCCATCGGTGCAAGCTTCTTTCAGCTTTCAAGAAACTGATATGCACACCACGGGGAACATCTTCCACAATTTTCCTACAAAACAGTCGTACGAGATTGTGGAGTCTACTTGGGTGATCAAACTCCAAGCATTTAAAAAAGAATGTCATAAACAAAAAGTATCTAAAGTAACTACCATAAATCTGTCTCTTCATAGGACTTATACATTTCAGCAATGCCCTTGAGATCAAACGCCCATGAAAAGCCAGATGATGATGAACCACGAGGCCCAATAGGTCGAAGGTTAGTAACCACCCACTGTGAAACGATGGAAAGTTCAATCTCAAACCAAAAGCAGGATTGATATCTTATAAAAAAAATTGATATTGATATATTACATAACAAGGTTAGTTAGGGTTATAAGCAGGATTGATAAACACCTACTGCAGCAAACTGAATATCAAGAACGCTGAAGTCACAAACCAAAGCAAAAAAATTATGAAAAACACAAACAGCGTTTAGCAATTTCCTAAGGGGCACTTCCTTGAATTAGGAAATAAGACATCTCTTACAAAATGATTTTAAGTTTGATGTCCGATTCAATTACATTATCCACAAAACTTACAATCGGGTGTCGAGCTTTGACTTGTTCTCTCATACATTTTGTACCCCTAATAAATACCCCCTACGTATTTCATGCACTACATAAACATTTGTCTTCTTTTTTTAAAAAAGTTCTAATCGCTGAAGTTTTACCGTGAAACTTTCTTCCTTCTTTCTTTTATACGTGTTTTCATTGCATAGTATGGTGGTCTCACCCTTGATTCCTAAGTTTCGAATTTTGGGTTGTGTCATTTTGGTATCAGAGCCAGACACTAAGTACGCCAGCGATGACGCTAGGCCCCTAAGGGGTGGATTGTGAGATCTCATATTGGTTGGAGAGGGGAACGAAACGTTCCCTATAAGGGTGTGGAAACCTCTCTCTAGTGGATGCGTTTTAAAACCTTAAGGGGAAGCCTGAAAAGGAAAGCCCAAAGAGGACAATATCTGCTAGCGGTGGGCTTGGCCTATTACAAACATGTTCCCCAACCAAGACTTGTCCACAAGTAGAAACATTAACGGAAGAAATTCAACAATAAATAGGGGAATAGTTGCAAAGTTGACTAAATATTTAAGCGAGAGACTGAATCAAAATAAACATCCAAATAATGAATGACGTCTTCGTATAACAGATGCTAAAAAAAGCTGCTAAACACCAGACCCCAAAAAGACATCTTCGAATGCTATACAAGCTCGAAGAAATTGCTCGACTAAACAGTTTAAGAGAAAAATCATATACCTGTGCGACATCCTTAGAAAATCCATGTTGAACAAGAGCATTCACGACATCCTGCTTTGAGGATACCTGTCACCCAAATATATGTATATGAAGTGGAAGAACAAAAGAAAGCGTGAAAAATATATAGTGGAATCTCCCGATGAAGATATTGGAATGTGGATATTATAATATAAAACAAAACAATTAGCACCACGAGGCAATTGTAGCAAGAATATTAGAGTGGTTCAAATGCTAAAATAAAAAGATAAACAAAACCAACCAGTGGGGCCGTTTCCTTCCCCCCAGCCAAAAGAGAGTGAGAGAAACGACGGGGATAAAAAAGTACACTGCCATTTTACCTCATTTCGCAGCATACTTAGGAAGGATATTAATTTTTCAGGATGGTCCTCTCCATCTCCACCAGGTCGAACTATACCAGGAGTGGCATCGAGAACCCAAACCTACAGAAAGAAAGAAAAAAAGAAAATAAACATTATGAAAAGGAGGGAACATAAAGAGAAAGGACACAAGCTCTACTTCGATTCTTTGAGGAAAAAGCTTCCACGTATGAACATATTTATAGCATTTAATTACCTTCCACTCCAGAATAGAACATTAATTAATGACTTCTCTAAATTTCTTTCTGTGATTAGAGCATTTCCAAATTCCCAATACCTACGTATTAAGTTTAAAAGAGAGAGTAGTCAGTAGGAAAGAACCTACTCTCACTGGCCGAGCAAGAGGTTTAGCAGCCTGTTCTACCATACTCAAGACAACTGCAAAGAGAATTTTAAGGTGCAGTAAGCACTAGTACCATTAGCACTTGAAAAATTCCTAAGATTTCATGTCAAATTGAGTTAGTGTACATTCCATGTTACGTTATAAAATACCTTTTCCTCCAAAGCTGTGTCCAACTAGAACTCGAGGTGTTATTTTCAGCTGTCGGACCTAATAAACAATTAATGGAGTTCAGAAAACAGTCGTATATCTTTCTACATCACACTTAAAATAAAGAATATAGTGTCCTCGAGGAGAAGGAGCAAATGTAAATGATTTCATCGAAAACTAGACAATTGAAGCCAAATATAAGTTCAACATACTATCGTCAATCACTTAGTTTTAATTCTTTGTATACCAAATACAAGGCAGGGGATGATGGCACAAAACATTACATCATTTAGCTACAAACGTATTCATTCATATATAATTAGACTAACAAATTCAAGCAATCCCAACGCTCATTTTCCTACATAGACACTGTAAAATGAAAAAGAAAAAAAAAAAAAAAATACTGTTTCCATTCTAATATGTATGCATAGACACATGCACAAATGCATTGCATGTGCATTATAAGAAAAATATTTTTAGACCAAAATGAAGAGGTCTAATTTTCCATAAATTAATATAATTAATTATTTTATGCAATGTCCGAAGACCACGCACCAGCTTCAATACATCAAGAGCAGTAGCAGAAACAGTGTGAGGGCTCATCTTCGTAGTAAAGGTTGAATCACCATGACATCGCAAATCCACCAAAAGAAACTGCAAAATAACAACAAATGAATGAATGTAAGCTCAACATCATTAAAACTTAAAACCAAGATGCACTCCTTAAGTTTCAGCCAATGGTGTTTAGATATTAACACTTACAAATGCAACCAAAAGATTGAGAGAACAGTAATTGGATAGATATAAGAACACTGAGCAAGCTTCAAGCATGAGTTAGGCGTTACCGTGTGGTTTTTAACGCTAATGCAAGCATGAAAAAAATTGTCTTGTGAGAAACACAAAAAAGAAAATTTAAAACATGCTTTAAGTTGTAGCTTCAACCTTTTTCACTCCAAGAAATATATTTTTTAGAGAAAAAAAAGTAGACCCCCCATCCCCAATCCTCCCACACCATTAGAAAAGTTACCTGCCATGCTGGAAATTCTTTTGCCAATCTTCTAGCAAAGGTTCCTGTAGCATAAGCTATCAAGTGAGCACTCCAACTATCAAAGCTACAGTTACAAAAGGCCAAAAATAGAGTTATGATCTTCACATCTAAATTTCATATCTATTCTTTTACATGTGCGACACACACACACAACACTCGGTCCAAGTTTCCACCATCTTCCTACATTGTCGTCAAGGATTACAGCATATCTTTTTTCACGGATGTGGAAAATTAGCAAGTGGATGCAAAATTATACCGTTAAACTAACATGATGGTGTAAATTAATTCCCTTAATTCAATAATTCATGTGGACCTGAAATACAAAGATATCAGGTTTTATTTAGTGCAATCTTCCAAATGATAATTATCGTTTAAGGTTTCAAACTCTTGTCCTATTTAGTTCGTTTGATTGTCAAGCCATTGTGAGAACATCAAGTGAGTCTGTGGCTAAATACTATGTGATCAAACCGACCCATCTATCATGACAAAAGATCAACACCGGCGCCATGTCACTTAGCTATTCAGCAATGTGGCAGGTTAAGAAAGATATTCAATACAACTCAAGAAATCTAAGTACATACCCCAGTTCTTTCTGCTGCCTAGAATTCCATGCAGAAAGACTGCTGTTGGTGGATCAGGTGATCTATCCATTACATTACTCCACTTTACCTGCTCAGATCATAGAGAAACACCATTTAACAGTAGATCCCACAGAGCATGTGACAGCAATACATACACCTTCATCTCCCTGATATTCGGTAATTATTTATACATAAAAAGGGAAATCAGATTGCACCAGAACCTTTGCAGTTTGCACAATCTCTGATTCTTAAAAATATAAAAGAAAACACACTAAAGCACATTGTTTATAAGATTACTGAAAAGAAAAGAAGTTCTAAAATATTTGATGTACTCTTGTTTATTGAGAGTGAGAGCTCCAGTAGACCCAACTGACAGAAATTCTACAGAACGTTTATGATTTGAAAAGGTAAATATTTGCAATTTTCCAAATTTTTGTTGGCATGTGTTAGAGTGAAAGATCAAAGAATCCCACATGTAAGATAGAAAAACAAAATAAGTTCAACCTGGTGGCTCAGACCAACTCAAATGTCAGAACTAAATTTCACTAGTCAGTCCTGTCACTAAAGTCATACATGAAAAATGAAGAAAATATCTACATACAAGGCCCATGAAGAGTAAAAGGGATGCATAAAACTTACGAGTGCTCCTTGAACTAGATCAAATGCCTGTGAAAAAGAATCATAGCCCAAGTTAAATGAAAAACAGAAAGGTAAAAGTTTATGTTCTTTGATATTAAAGAGCATTAAAGCAACAGAAAGTTTAACACGGACTGGCAATGGCATTAGCCTTGCAAGCCTTAGAGGAGAGTAGATACCAATACTTCAGAATTCATTTTTCTGAGATTTTGATGTGCAACTGTCTCATCCAACAATGCTGCACGGATAGATGAAGGTTTAACTGCAATCCTTGAGTGACCATAAGCAAGCCGGGGCAAGAGCAAGCCATTCTGCAGAAAACACAATATAACACATACTAATCATTTTCCAACCTGAAACACAGTTTCTTGGGCATGCCATCCACAATTGTAACATAGATTAATTCTGTTCAAGTAACAAGTTAACTATAAATAGCAATTGAGATACCATTTTGACACCATTTGGTAATAATAAAAACTCAATCAACGTGGTCTGAGTGACTGAGCAGACATTAAGTTTCTAGGGGATGTAAGCCTTAACAAAAATTAAAGGGTAAAGCTGATATGCTTTCCTCAAGTAGGAAGACGAATAGGCAATTAGGCGTGACTTCGGAGCGAGTTATTGTCTATGTTGATCTCTATGGAAGAACCAGTTGAGAGCCCGAGAGGCGGTGATTTGTGGCAAAAGTCAATGGTTCAAGTCCGTTTATCTCCAACCCGTAAACTTAACTACACAAAGCTATATGATAACACCCTCTTTTTGATTTGGCAATTCAATCTATGATTTTTCATCGATAAGACTCTTCAATTTGGTAACACCTTAGAATGACATGTAGTTAAAGGTGAGTTCAAAGTAGGAAAGGGTTATAGTGGATAGCTACACACCATCCACCCCAAGAGAGAAGGAAGGGTGTATTAAGTGATGAAATACTTATGAGAATTGAAAATAAACATAGATCTGAAAATTTTCGTCAATCTTTTAATCAACTGTCGAATCCATAGACAGACAAGAGAAACCTAACAGACCGAAACATCATAGTAGCCCGAAGAAAAGAAAGTAAAGGTGAGTGGTGGCAAGTGAAATGATAGTAGCCTAGAACATAAAAATGGGATTGTAGCTTATCTACAAATAACTCCCTAACATAATAAAGTTAACCTCGGTGTTAAAGTATTGATATAATTTAATTTATTTGTTTAAACTTTTAAGTTGATTGATGAATACATAGAATAGACTAAGAAATCACAATTGCACTCTTCCGGTAGCTGAAAAACGATTATGCGCCACTTGTTCTAATTCAGAGAACAAGTCAGTCGTGTGAAATTCGGACTTTGCGGACAGTATCGGCATACGCCCGAGTCTCATGTCACGTTTGAGAGAATATTTTACAAAATGTGAGCGAGTAAATAAGTTGAAAACAATTTTAAATAAAGTAATGTTATAAGCTAAAAGCGAAAAGGTAACAACGACGACTTTGATAGCATGTAACCCGAGTAAGAAAAATTGGCAACTAGTCAATATCCTACTGTACATTTGGGGGATAGTGACATTTCCGCTGGACATGTTGTATGACAGACCGTGAGAGAGAAAACGAATAAATATGGACGGTTTCGATTATTGCGTTGCAATTATGACGTCGGTATTAAAAACTAGGGAGAAGGGGGGAAACTCATCTGCAATATTTTCTTTTGCATTTACCGTTTAAATTTTATAAAATCGGTAAAGAAAGAAACAATGTGAATAATAATTATTAAAAAAAAAAACCTGAAAAGGACAGTTGAAAGTGGCCGGATTAGCAGGCCGACTGATGCGGCGATCGAAACGAACCCTGGAGCTTGTCTCGGCCAAATGAACAACGGACCCCGAAAATGTCGCCGCAAAACTCGCAGCTATCGGCATTGCAAGGCAGACGAACATAAAAAGTAAAGCATAAGCCGAGAACTTCCTTTTGAGATGGAAGATCCGGCGGGGGAACGTGTAGGTGCAGGTATTGTATGCGAAATTGGTGCAGAGGACGGATGACGAAAAATGAAAGAACAAAAGAGGAGGGGAAAACGAGAGGCGGAAAGAACGAGGAAGGTTCTCTGACGCGGTGTCCCTAGTTAGTTGGACCATCCAGGGATGCGCGGGCGACTCTTTGCCTGGGGCATGTTTCACACGTACGCATAACGCAACCAAAAGACGGTGTTGCCTAATGCCCGCCAACAATTATGATTTACCATTTTTCTAAATTAAGGTTAAATTATACCTGATCCCCTAAATTTGTAAGGGAGAATGTTCCATAAATTATTAAAATTTTTATTATGTATTTAATAGATATTGTAAATCCACCTCTCAAGTTTATTTTCATTAGTTTCTTTAACTCTCATGTTAGTAGCTATTTTTCAAAGCAACCCTCTGAAAACCAAGGGTTGTTTGTTGTTGGTTCAAGGTTTGGTGAAATCTTAAATTGGAAAGTGTTATGTGACAATTCACCATATCTCAGAGAGAGGTCTTTTTCCGCCTGTAGAAAATATTTGGAGGCTTATGGAGAATACAACTCACACTCCCGGCACGGTGGCACAGCAAACACTCAAAAAAGCTAGGCAGAGAGAGGACTTGAAAACGATGAAGGATTGATTCAAGCTAAATTAAGCTAAATTAACTTCTTCCCATCCAGTCTCGAATGATCTTTATTTCTACAACTTCTATTTCTTAACTATAAAATAAACCTTATTGTGTAAAGGGTTATTAATCATGTTGTACTAAAGCAAGTTAAGTATTGAACATACTTTTGAAGTATTATTGTGTGTTTTTTTACGGTAAGATTTAGACCGTACAATCTATACACAACATTTTAATCACAATAAAATGTTATCGGCATCCCTACCAAGAATACTTTGATATGTAGTATTGTCATTTGTATTTTTATAAGTAGGATTTATTTTGTGTTTTTATATTTTAAATGCATTTTAAAACTTTAAATTCAAAATTGGGATATAATGAAATAAAAATAAATTCTGAAAAACAAGGCTAAAAAAAAACAGATATGTCTAACAGTTAATCCCTAAGTTAAAAACTATAAAGCAAAATCGGAGTACCAAATAAGCTTAAATTTTAGTAAGAAAAGAAATTAATTTTATTTTGATGGGATGGGTCATGTGTAGGTCTCATTTTAGGTTATTCAGCAACAATAATAATAATAAAAAACAAAAAACTCAACTCTTTGATCCAATATTTAGAATAACTAATACTTCGAATGATCCAATTCTACCATACATTCTTCCATCTCCATGCGGAGGAGAAAAGATGCAAGGCTCAATTCAGCTTCAGCTGGAGTTCAGGCTGGGCCAGCGAGTCCACTTTGTCGGTGATCCCCGACGTGTCGGAACAGTGGCTTTCGTAGGAACCCTGGAAGGATATTCAGGAACCTGGATCGGAGTGGATTGGGACGACAGCAATGGCAAGCACGACGGCTCCATCAACGGGGTCCGGTATTTCCAGGCAAAGTCAGAACGATCTGGCTCTTTTGTTCGGGCTCAGAATCTGAGTTTCGGCGTTTCGCTTCTCCAAGCGTTGGAGCTCAGATATAGAGGCGACTCTACCAAAGAAGAAGAGGGTATGTATCTGCGCTATCAATATCTGTCTAGTTGCTCCTAACATGGCTGCCTAATTGTGGTATATCGTACACTTAATCTTACTGCCTAAACTCAAATTTTATTTTCAACTTGTTTAATGTAATTCAACGGTTGCGCTGAATTTGTTGGTAATGGGTTGTCCTGCGTTGCCATTTGCTCTCTTGCAGATGAAATGTACGTACTCTCAGCCAGTGACAAGCGTGTATCTGTTCAATTCGTGGGTAAAGACCTTATTAAAGACAAGCTTAGTCGTTTTGAGGAGTTAACTAGTGTATCGCTGTCTTATATGGGTGTTAGCTCTCCTGGAAATCCATGTCAGATTGGCTCTGTCTTGCCAAGTAAGTTTCTTGACCTCATTGAAGTATACATTTGTCTTCTTAACTTCAAATACGTTGTTGATTTTCATGATGCGGTTTATATGAGAAACATTGTATTAAACCAGCGTAGCAAAAGACCACACTCAGACATTTGGAGCTGAAGCATTTAATCATTGATGATCACCCTTTTAAAGTTGATGCCAAGCTTCTTTTGATGAATTTTACGAGATCTTTCTTTGGAATGTTTGTGTAAAGAAACAATAAAAATTTTGGGAGAGAAAAGATATAGGATCACTGTTTTATGGGATAATCTTTTGTCCTGTCGCTATTTATAATTCTAATGTGATTATATATGTTTCATCTGTAATGTCTCCATTTCAGACGTAAAGCAGCTCGACCTTACTGGAAATTTGCTATCAGATTGGAAGGTACGTGTTGAAGAAAACCATTATTGTTCACCCTCTTAGCAACCCACACTGAAAATGTACAGTCATAACTTGCAATTAACTGTGGTTTTAAACACCAGTCTTCGACTCCACCATAGAGTTTTTGTTGTTTTTTCAGAAAATACTTGGGTTTATGTTACGTTGATCAGTTGTTTACCTCTTCAGGGTGAAAACTTGGTAGAACACATTGTGTTCCTTTTTTCGCTTGAAAGATGAGGGTTGTCCTTTGCTTTTTAATATGTGGTTGTATAAATTCAATCAGTTCGACGTATATGTGCCTTTTTTCAATGGCCAAACCAGTGAATTCTTAACGTAAATGTCTTTGAGGTTTGTTCTGTATCGTGCCCTGTGGGAAGGTCTGATACCCTGCTGAACAATTTTTTCGATCTAGTCCCATCAAAGAAATAAAAAAGATGGAAAGAAAGAAAGAACGAGCATCTTTCTTTTGTTTTCCAAATTGTAATTTCTTTGTTTGTTGGCAGTTTAGTAGTTCTGAACATTATTGTCTTATTGTCAACTTCATATATTCATGCAGGATATTAGCATCATTTGTGACCAATTACAAGCTCTTGTAGCCCTCATTTTATCGAACAACTTATTGTCACGTGATATCTCAGGGCCTGTTCAATTGAATCACATTCGTATTTTAGTTCTAAACAATACTGGAATAACTTGGATGCAGGTTAGTTGTTAGTATGGTTGAGATATATATATTTTTTTTCTTCTCCTTATCCTTTATATATTCATATTATATGTGGAGTTAATTTTATATGATAGGTTGAAACACTTGAACATTCTCTGCCAACAATCGAAGAACTACATCTGATGGGAAATAAAATAAGCACAGTAACGGTACTGATTGAGATCCTTAAACTTTGTAATTGTTGGATGAATACATAATAATTTAGTCTCTTGTTGCAGTTGCATTGCATTGCATTGCATTGATTATTGATTTCATCTGATGGGAAATAATTTAGTCTTTCAATGCTTGTGAGTTGCAGAAATGAATCGAATAATAGAAGGGTTTATAAAGTCGATTAATCCGTTTACAATTGTGTCACTTAGTTCTATAATACGAACAACTAACCTGTATTTCTGTTGAGATCTCGTTTTCAGCCAGAATCATCATCCCCTATGGTCCAAGGATTTAATCTTCTGCGACTTCTGAATCTGGAAAATAACTGTATAGCTGAGTGGAGCGAAATATTGAAACTGGGTCAATTAAGAAGGTATTGTTGTTTTATTATTATTTTGTTCTTCATTGGGACAATTGGCTGTTGTCGAACCCTCGCTTATTTCACTGTATTTCCTTTGAATCTTTGACTATGCTATCAGCTTGAAGCAGATTCAGTTGAATAACAACAAATTGAGTCGTATATTTTATCCTAGCTTGGATGAATTACACAAGTTATTTGGAGATGTTGAACCACAAGGAGACTGTTTTCCATTCCGAAATTTGCGAAACCTCTTTCTTGGTACATTATCAAGGTTCTTTAACAATTGTGATCTCTTTATAGATTCTTTTAATTACTTCTCTGACTTGTTCTATTTCTGTATGTACTTCAGGAGGCAACAACATCGATGATTTGGCCTCTATCGACTTTTTAAACTCGTTTCCTCAGTTGATTGTAAGATTTTAATATATATTATTTCAATACGAGGGATAGTTCTTGAATTGAAAAACCTAATAACATTGGCAGATACATTATCGACTCGAACTTCAAGTTCTTTATCGTTTTATTTATTCATTTCTTTTTCCTTCAAGGACATCAGGCTATCAGAGAATCCAATAGCTGATCCCATGAGGGGTGGGATTCCCAGATATGTTTTAATTGCGCGATTGTCTAAAGTTCAAATAATCAATGGGAGTGAGGTTGTTTGGAAGCATTTGCTGTCCTTTTCTTTTTCTCATTATTATATTATCGTTAACCCGAAAACTTTTTTCTCATATATTTTTTAGGTAACTCCTCGTGAAAGAAGAGACTCTGAAATACGGTGCGGAAATCAATATTTTAGATGCATTATTAGTTTCCTCCCCTTCTTTGTACTAACAAGGATATATTGGTAATATGAGTAGTCTTGATATAACCAGAGGGAGTAAGGGTGCGAGTCTATAGTCTATGTTTAAGATGTGAAGTTATTATGAAGAACATTTGAATCCTTTCAGGAAACTGTGGTTCATTCGAAGTTATAAATTTCGAACATTTGTATCCGTTTATTCAGTGATTTCAATTCTTCTTGCAGCTACGTACGCATGGTTATGTCAAAGTTGGATAGCAATCCTGAGGAAACATTAAGGCTACATCCTAGGTAACTGCATTCAACTAAAACTGAACTTACCCCGTGCTGCGCCCCGGGGAACGTTATTTTTGTTGATATATTTATGCATCAGGTTTGAAGAGCTTAAGAGGTTTTATGGGATCGAAGATAATAGGGTATCGGTCGGAGCTGGTGGACCTCAGAAACTGGCATCTGGGCTCATATGTAGGAATGAATCTTGAATTTGAGATATTTGACATTTTAGAACATTTCCTTATCGTCGCTGAATAGTTGTTTGATAAATTTATCCAGCAATCACCCTGAATTGCGTGGGAGCATCAATCGGGGAGAAGCCACCATTGACAAAGAAATTACCACTCACTACTACAGTTACTGTCCTTGCTTTTTTATTTTAACATGCTGTTTCACTGCTTCACTCTAAATGACTCTTTCCATCTTTAGGTTGGCAAGTTAAAGATGCTTTGTGAAAGCTTTTTCAAATTAAAATGTATGAGGCTAAAGTTGTATCTTCAAGAACAGGTTTGGTCTCCTAATTACTCAATACCCAACTCATTAACCTGCTGCAACTGAACACACCTTACATTCTCAGGATTCCCCCGTGCCGATACCGCTCGAGGACGATATGGCATCTCTTATGGATCTTGGGGTTGCTAATGGATCCAACATTCTTGTGGATGAAGAGAGTTGAAGGAAATAAACCCCCCATAGGTTCTTCAATTTTTTTCCTTTTTCCTTCTTTCTGGCATTCCCATGATTCCTGCTCCCCAGATTTGGAAGATGTTTTTAATTGTTGGTTCTCTACCGGATGTTCTTATATCATTTGACCAAGATTCACAGCTTAAACAAATCGTGAAATCACACTGAATTGCCTGATCTTCTATTCTATTTATCTGCCTCATATTTTGTTTCTATAATTCATTATATTTAAATTAACTGTGTATATATAAATTTTTATAAATATGTCATTCATTAAAGCAATTAATGATTCCAATGAATTAATTCAAGATAAATTACTTATTTAACTGTAATTTTTATTAATAAAATAGAAATTAAAGTGTATGTCGTTTTTCTTTTTCTAATTACCATGAAAATGCTAAATTTTAGTTACATCCATTTTAAATCTATTTACAAAAAAATCTCAAATTAATTTTTTTGGTCCCCCAATATAATAAAAATATATTCTTAAACTAAATTCCCATGACAGGGAGAGCCAGAAAATTTGCCCTTTGCAAGAACCAAACGACTGGACTCCAAGGAATAATAATAATAATAATAATAATAAATAATAATAATAATAATAGAATAAGAATAATTGAGACACATTTCAATTTTCAAGTAACCACCGCACCGCTGCAGTGCGTCTGCCACCGCCGGTCTCTAACCGTTCCAGAAGCCAAAGCCCACCGCCATCTTTTCCCCGCCGAAGCTCCCCTTGGATCGAACACGCAGGGCAATCAGCTCAATGGCTATTGATTCCCATCTTCGCCAGGAGGCATCTGTTACTCGACTTGGTCTCATATAATTCCAGCCCTTTTACATTGTTCTTCGTGGAGCCAAATTCTTAAACCGCGCCAGTCAAACTCTATTTCGCCCTTCCTTTTAAGTTAGAATAAAATTGCTCTGCAGGGTGGCGTGCGTGGTACTTCAATTGGGTGCTGCTCATCTTAATTGTTACGTTATGTGCTTGTGTGTTTCTGGGATCTCGAAGTATTCAGCTGGGTGTTGGATTCGGGTCATAGTCGACGATTTTCTAAACGGAAGATAACTTGCTCAATCCTCTGAGCTAACCTGTCCTGCAACTGCTTCGGAACCTCTTAGTGATAGGTTCCGAGGCAAAAATTATTGTATCAGAGGCCGGAATGGATGTAAATAGTTCGAAAAATATGGGTGACGATGACATGTTGATTTCGGCAGCTATAGGTTCTTCTGTCGTTCCAGAAGCGTCCCCTGATTCTCTAAAAAACACGCCATCTAACATTGCGAAATTGGAGGATGTAATCGAGCATTGCGTAGGTCGGCAGAAGTATCTTGCACAGACAAGGAGTCCTTCCGACGGCGGCGATGTCCGTTGGTATTTCTGTAAAGTACCTTTGCTTGGTAATGGTGAGTACTTTCATTTTCTTCATCTTCAATGGTACGTTTTCCAATGCGACCTGTGAATAATTGACGAGAAACGAACATACTTGAAAACCAAGATGATAATAATTGGGGCAAATTTTTAGGTTTTCACTCGGAATCATATCCGAAGAATCTAAGAAACTTGTTTTAGGAAGACTAATTCAAAAAATTTATACGGCCATTTAATACCGTATAAACTTCTGAAACTGTATATACGTATATATAATGTTTATGTTGTCTACTTGAAAAATTAAAGTTGTAATATTGTTGATGTTCTGGTTAAAAATTGGAGTTCGCTAGGAGATTTAGAATCAAAGGGCTTTCTAACCTTTTGATGACTTTCTGCTGCTTATGTTTGGACAGAGGTAGCTGCATCAGTTCCTAAGACTGAAATAGTAGGGAAGGGTGACTATCTTCGATTTGGCATGAGGGACTCTCTCGCAATAGAAGCATCTTTCTTGCAGGTGCATTTTTCAACCTCTTGGGTACTCAATTAATGCTTATTTTCAACCATATTTCATGAATTGCTTGTTCAATGTCTTTCAATGTCTTTTACTCATGAGATCATAAAATGATCACAAACAAAAGAGAATGACTAGCAAACAAAAAGGGCTCATCAAACCAAGCTCAACTCCGAATCAAACTCGAACAACCACCACAACAATTAAAGATGAGATAAAAAGAACCAAACTAACTCCGAGAGCGAAAGCCCCAAAGTTCGAACTGCCAAAAGAGAATGCAAAAATAAAAAAAGGGGCTCTTTGGAAACTTGATTAAAAAGTAACCCTTAAGAAGACGAAGAAGAAAATTTTCATAATTCAAGACCACAAGCTTCAAAAAGACTAGGCACCGAAGAGGGAGGAGAGAATCTCCTACATTTTCTTAAAATAGCTACTCAAAAGCATAAAAAAGGGAGTCTTTTATCTACATATCTTCAAAGTGAGTAACCATTGGTTACACAAGAGATTTCACACTGCTTAGGCTAACTTGAGATTCAACATCAAAGTCATCGTAATGAGAGAGAGAGAAAGATGAAGTATAGGGCCTTTCGTTAAGGGAATCACCTCAACAACATTGTATGTACCTTATGTGGCTAAAAATTTATGGCTACTAGAAGAGATTGAAGGCTTTGATAGAACTAATGTTTGATGAGTTTTGACTATTGCTTGTCTTACAGAGAAGACGTGAACAATTTTCTTCAACACTATCTTTTCGTTCATTGTTCCTTTGCCAACTCTTTTTGGAACTAGATTTTTCTGTATCATTCCAATTTTATTGAATCTTCTCCAAGGGACTAGATATTTATCTTTTGAACTTTGGAACTAGATTCTTAGTAAGTTTAACTTGGTGCTGGGTCGCTTTATTTCAATTAAAGATATGGTGGAACCTACTCTGTATGGACATAGATTGAAAGAGGAGAGCTGAATGTTTTTGGAAACACTATTTGGCTGGTTCATGGGAATTATGTTAAGGAAGGAATTGTAGGATATTTAATGCCGTACGTGGGAAGGAGGGCATCCTTTTGATCTAGTGATTATCGTCACTTCAAGTTGGTATACTCTCTCAAAATCAGTTTGTAATATCTCTCTTTTATGCCAACTGGAGTACCTTTTTATATGCTAATTTGGGTCTTCTCGGTTGCAACTTTTCATCATTTTAATAGAAGTTATTGTCTCTTTATATGTATGTTTCTATGTGTGTGTGTTTCCATGTACATATCTCAACTATTTATTTATATATGATTTTTGTTTTATCTGCTTCTTTTTTGAAGTAAATGGGAAAAAATGGTAAAAAATTATTTACATTTCTTGGATTTGAATGTAGAGAGAGGAAGAACTACTTTCTATTTGGTGGAAAGAGTATGCAGAATGTAGTGAAGGGCCAAAAGAAAGAGCTGGTTCTAGTCTGAAGATTGATAAACAAAGAAACGAATCTGCTTCAGAGGTCGCTAAATTAGCCAAGTTGTATGACATCGAAGAAGAGCGAGTTGGTGTCCCTGTCAAAGGAGGACTCTATGAGGTCAATTTGATGTAATCTATAATTTAAAGAATTTTTCTTCTTTGTTTAATACTGGCACCATCTTTTATAGCACTATCTCGTTTTATACTAGCACCTTCTTCTATCCAATTGTTGCTAAGCGTAACACATTTAGGCGTAGTTTCTGTGGCATGGAAAGCATTTATTGTTTTTCTCGTGGAATGTGTTGTACAAAAACAAAGATTTGTTTAAATGTCAAAGGTTGGGAGATGTAAGTTATGTTATTTCTTCTGGTTAATGGGCTTATCAAAAGGGGATAATTAAGAAAAACTTGAGTTCCTAAATGTCAACAGTTCATGACCAATTGAGATATTCGTATCACTAATTAATGTTTGCCTACTGGATAGATTTATTATAGAGACTCGAACAGTGTGGTCCACTTTATAATTACTTTCTGCAGGTTCCTATTTGTTTTGATCGAATGGATTTAATTAATATTTTCTTTTCTTCTATTAAGAATATGAACGTTACAAAAGTTAAGGGTTTTGTAATCTTTTAATGTATGCTTTCTGTTTGATTGAAGTCTTGGTGTTAGAATATATTTTAAATATCATATCCAAAGTTAAATATGTTGTGAAAGTATTTCTTTTTTCTGTTTAATATACAAATGCTTGCAACTGAAATCATATTATGTATGCAGGTAGATTTAGTGAAGAGGCATTGTTTTCCTGTATATTGGAATGCTGAAAATCGCCGTGTGATGAGAGGTCATTGGTTTGCTCGTAAAGGTGGACTTGATTGGCTTCCACTGCGGGAGGATGTTGGTGAACAGTTAGAAATTGCCTATCGTAGTCAGGTTTGTTTTTTGTTCTCTAAGAGACCTCCTCCTTTTTCTTCTCCTTCCATTAAAATAAAAAATAAAAAAAGATCATCTTCTTTTATTTTTATCCAATCACCGAATTCTTGTTTGAAAATTTTGTATGCAAAGCACCGCAAAGTTTTCACGATGAAGAAAATGCTTCCATGTGAAATGTTTTCATTTATTGCTGTTTAGTTTCTTGTTTATTCTCATTTATAAACTTGAATTTTCCTTTTTAAATGTCTTAATAATTAGCAAGTTATGGATGAAGATGCTTTTGATCTAGGTGTGGCACCGGAGAACATTTCAGCCATCTGGACTTTTTGCATCTCGAGTTGATTTACAAGGATCTACCCCAGTATGTAAATTATTTGGAGTTCGGAGACTTATTTTGTTGTCTCATCATTACATGAAATTTAGGCTCCTGATTTATCTTGAAATCCCTAATGTAGGGACTTCATGCTCTTTTCACTGGGGAAGATGATACTTGGGAGGCTTGGCTGAATGTTGATACTTCTGGTTTTTCTAGCGTGATTAGTTTGGGTGGCAATGGTATTAAGTTAAGGCGTGGCTATTCCCCATCTAATTCTCCTAAACCTACTCAGGTTTGTATCTCTTTTGTCTCGTAGCTCTGTTAGTATAACCTTGCCGTTGTCTTAATATTTCACCCCCTTCTGATGGAAACTTCAATTCATAAGAAAGGACCGTTATTGGCGGATTCTTAATACTACTTGATATGGGGGGAAAACTACCATTTTGAGTGAAACCTCAGCTCTAATATTCTTACATTAAACGTTGGTACTTTTTCTTGAAATGTTGAAGCTCACTAAAATGCACTCTAACCTCTATCCATCTTTTCTTTATAATTTCTCTTGAAAATTATGTGGCTTCTTTCCACTATATGCCTCTACTGTATTTTGTTTTCCATTGAAGACATTTCTGACTTTGATCCGTGCACATGAAAAGCATTCAAGATGGGACTCCCTCATAGAATAATAGTACATCAATTCCCTCTTAGGAATGCTAAATAACTTTCTGCTAGATTGAATGATAAAAAATTGGGTGGATGCGGAAGTGAAATTGTGTTTCCTTCTGAGGACGAAAAAAAAAGGTTAGGTTTACTTCAAATTAGAGGAAAATGAAAGGCATTCTATCCTCTTTTTTTATTTATTAATTTTCTCTTTCTTTTTTCGTTTTATATGAACTTTTTTTATCATTGTTCTCTCCTCACTTTTTTTCTTCTTCTAATTTTCAAGGACGATTTGCGTCAGCAGAGGGAAGAAGAAATGGACGATTACTGTTCACAGGTACGTCTGCTATCATTGAGCTTCATGTATTCATATTATATCCTTCTCAGAAATTTAGGATATGACATTCCAATTTTTTCATGTCTGTGTCCTACCGTTTTTTTCTTTTTTTTTTTCTTTTATTATTATGTCCCTATTAAGCTATAATTGATTATTTCTGAAATATTAGTAAGCTATGGACGGTAATCCACTTCATTTTAGTTTCAAAATAATTTAGTAAAATATGGTAGTTGAAATTTTGTTCTCTTCTTACAAATTTCATTATAGTTGATTTTGTTCCGATTCTCCTTTGCATCCATTTTCAATCATAAATGGGATTATGTTATTGGACTACTACTTTAGATAATCATGTTTATTAATATGTGAATAATACCCCCCCCCCCCCCCT